TCTTCAATGACTATTATACTGAAGGGATTTCTTTTGCTCCAAGCCTCCATCATCACTTGTGCCTGGAAGGAATTGCCCAGAAGGGTATGGAGATGATCATTTGTGAAGTTCTAAAGAGGCCATTAAAATAGTAAATGCCTCTTTTTGGTTGCTTATCAAAGGCAATCTCAGAAAGGCTACTTTAAGAAAAGATGTTTCACCTCCTCTAAGGAAATAAAATGCTGCTTCCATGTGCTGCAGGCATAAATTCACAGAGCTGGAAGAGACCACAAGGGTTATTTAGGATCCCCTGCCATGCAGGAATACATATTCAAAGCGCTCCTGACAGATGGCCATCCAGCCTGTGTTTAAAAACCTCCAGAGAAAATTTCACACACCCTTTGTTTTGAAGGTCACGTAATACATAATGGATGTGTTACATCCTGGCTACCACCAGAAAGCTTCCTTTCAACATGGATGAGAGTATAGGGAATCACTGGGCATATTTTTACACTTTATTACTACTAGTAAAATCTAGTGTGACATTTTAACAGAAGTCTACAAATAAAAACATGAGCATAACCATACAAAATCATACATGAATACAACTTCAGATTTATCTAGTAAGTCTCTAAAAACAAATTTGATGTATACGTGGATGGGAAGTCTGTAGTCACTGAAGCCTGTAAGAATGAAAAATTGTTCTGTAAGTAGAATACTTGGGAGCTATAGTAAAATTACTAATATATATTGTAGCACTTGCTTCCCTGCCTATATTCACATTCTAAGGATCTATTCATAAATGCACGCACATGCTTTTGCCTTAAGCTTGTGTATAACTAGAGAAAAGTAATAGCTGTCTGGTAAAACTCCATATTATTATAGCCTTTGAATATGGATATGTTTGATAACTCTGATACATGTCCCTGCATAATCTTCAACATTATTTAAGAGCCTCTAAGACAGTGTTTCTCAATCTGGGGGTCGGGATCCCTGGGGGGGGGGGGGGGGGGTGAGGGGTGTCAGAGGGGTCAAAGACCATCAGAAAACATAGTATTCTTTGTTGGTCATGGGTTCTGTGTGGGAAGTTTGGTCCAATTCTATCGTTGGTGGGGTTCAGAATGCTCTTTGATTGTAGGTGAACTATAAATCCCAGCAACTACAACTCCCAAATGTCAAGGTCTATTTTCCCCAAACTCCACCAGTGTTCACATTTGGTCATATTGAGTATCCGTGCCAAGCAATGCTGGCCATGGGAGTTTTGTGTGCCAAGTTTGGTTCAATTCCATCATTGGTGGAATTCAAAATGCTATTTGATTGTAGGTTAACTATAAATGACAGCAACTACAATTCCCAAATGACAAAATCAATCCCCCAACGCCACCAGTATTCAAATTTGTGCATATCGGGTATTTGTACCACATTTGGTCCAGTTAATGAAAATACATCCTGCAAATCAGAAATTACAGTTAAGAAGTATCAGAGCTTGAGAAACTGTGTTAAGGGGTTGAGGCATTAGAAAGGTTAAGAACCACTGCTCTATGAGAAACCACTACATAGCAGTGCAGTGGTGCAATTGCAATTACTACATATTCAAAAGCTGCATGCATTAACATTAGTGATCAAGAAGAAAAAATAATGATATATTCATTAGCTCACTAGCTTGGTTACTCGGCATTGCCTGGGTTATTTGAAACAGTTTTTTTTTAAAAAAATTAAACGCAGGAGGTAGTGGGTGAACTACCAACACATATCATGCCAGGTTATTCAGTTGGTCATGGAGTTTCTGTGTGCCAAATTTGGGTTATGTCCATTGCCTGTGGAGGTCACAGTTTCTCAGTTTGTAGGTGAACTACAACTCCCAGAAATTAAGGTCAATCCCTCCAAAACTCGTCAAGTATTCAAATTTGGGTGTATCGGGTATGTATGTCAAGTTTGGTCCAGATCCATTGTTGTTTGGGTTCACAGTGCTCCCTGGATGTATCAGTCAAAGTCCGTTACCCCAAACGTCTCCAGTATTGTTCATTGGTCGTGAGGGTTCTGTGTGCCAAATTTGGTCCAGGTCCATTGTCGTTGGAGGTCACTGTGTTCTTGATGCAGAGTGAACTACAACTTCCATCATGTTAAGTCAGTCCCCCAAACCCCTCCAGTATGTTCAGCTGCTGATGAATTCCACTCTGTTTGCTATGTGCCATAAGAAAGGGCAGAAAAGTGGGTGGGATCATGCCTCTGGGATGTCTATGGTGGAAGAAAAACATAAAATCTAGGAGGAAATTGTCTCTGAATGAAAGCATTCACTTGGTGGTTGAGAGTATTGTGTTTGTGGATGACATTGGCAGGCTTCTTGTACATGTTTACGGCACTCACTACAACCTGCAATGTCATTGGAGGGAGGACCATTGGTGTCTCCTGAGTGGTGGACATTATAGCTGTGGAAGTGGGAGTTTGTCTGTGTAAGTCAACACCCCTGACACACACATACACATATTTTAACTTTTATTATATGTATAGATTAAACCTTTCTTCCCTCAATTGCTATTTTGCTATATAGTGTCAACAGATTGCCACTTGTAACCTACCTCTTTTTCAGGAACACTTATTACAGTAATTGCTGCCCATCAATTAAATTAATTCCAAGTGCTGCATTCAAGACTATGACAACACATTGCCAGGACATTGTCAGGGAACGTATTGCTAACCCAACTTTGGAGGGACAACAGTTTTTCCTTAGGGACAGACATAACACCATTTATATATCTGCTCAAAATAAACGAATAGTACATTAATGATCATAAACTTAACTGTATCAGCAGTTTATGCATCAATAAATACATGTTGTAGGACATTATGCAATCATGATTAAGTTGTAGTGCCCCCGGTGGTGCAATGGGTTAAACCCTTGTGCCGGCAGAACTGCTGACCGAAAGGTTGGTAGTTCAAATCCTGGGAGTGGGACATGAGAGAAGCCTCCCACAGGATGGTAAAACATCCAGACATCCCCTGGGCTACATTCTTGCAGACAGCCAATTCTCTCACACCAGAAGCAACTTGTTGTTTCTCAAGTCACTCCTGACATGAAAAGGTGCCCTACTTTCGTAATAAAAAGCTTATATGAAAAAGCACTTTATATAAAATATTTTGAAACTAGATACACAGGCTGGAAATAATCCCTTTTTTTGTCTAGGATGGAAGATAGAGGATAGATAGATAGATAGGTAGATATAGATAGATAGACAGACAGCCAAATAGATTTCTAAAAGTGAAACAGAATTGAGAATATTGAATATAAATGTTTATTATCAGTACAATCTGTGGAATCTAAATGGGTACAAGTGATACATTCTTGAGTACCTCTCATACAATCCATTTTAAGTACTATTAACAAACTGACAAAAAAAGAGTAATAATAACAATATTAAATCAATGCACACAAACCAGATCAGAGCAGTTATACAAAGAAAATAAAATGTCATCTGGAAGCTACAGTCATCCCATCCTAGTACATCACTCCAAATGTTTCTATGAGTGTCCTTGCAATGATTTTTTTAAATAACTAATTGGGGAGAGCAAATTTCTGTAAAGTTGTGTGTATTTGGTTCTTTGACATTATATATTAGTTTCTTTAATAGTAAAACCTTAGCATACCATTAGCCAGTGGTTTTCCATTTGTAGGCTATCACCTGCTGAGCTACTATTAATAAAAATGTAAGTTTTTTGTAGGATAAATTAGCATTTGTTCCAGAAGAAATGTTCAACACTGCCAAGCTAGGAATGACTTGAATCTGTTGGTTCGTTATATTACCTATTTCTTGGAATACCTCTTTCTAGAGCATGCAAAAATCCTCAGATATGTACCACAAATGAAAATAACTGCCTAATGAATTATAACCTCTTCAACAATCTGGAAAGCTATGATAGAAAAAGTGTGGCACATTGGCATTAAATACCATCTATACAACAACTCATGTGGAGTTTCCCTAGATTGCACAGAGTTAGGTTGTGCAAAGTTAGATCTAAGAGCTTCATCATTTATAAGCTATTCCAATTAACATCACCCAGGTCTTGTTTGCACTGAATTTTTAATCCACGCAGTTTTGAGTTCCTGTTAGAGAGGAGTAAATTATAAATAACAGGAACCAACCTTCAGGATTTAGAGGCTGATGTTTAAATAAATTACTTACAGGAAGTGCATGGTAAGTTAGCTGGTTTAATTACTTCTGCTTTTCCTAGAAAATGTAAGATCTGTTGAGTTCTGTATTATTTTCAGAATGTTTGAATGACTTCTTGTTTAGTTATGCATTTATCTAATAATCTACACAGGCCAAAATCTTCTCATTTACTCTATTTACCAAATTAACAAAATAATGTATGGATTTCCTGGCTCCTAAGGAACTAGCATGAACAAATATCAGCAGGCAGACCTATTTAAAATCCAGAGTATTTATCTTTGATTTTTGTCACAATTACAAAGGTGGATAACAGGGGTCCTCAAACTTTTTAAACAGAGGGTCAGGTCACAGTCCCTCATACTGTTGGAGGGCCGGATTGTAATTTGAAAAACAAAACATGAATGAATTCCTATGCACACTGCACATATCTTATTTGTAGTGCAAAAAATACATAAAACAATACAATAATTAAAATGAAGAACAATTTTAACAAATATAAACTTATTAGTATTTCAATGGGAAGTGTGGGCCTGCTTTTGGCTGATGGGATAGGATTGTTGATGTAGTTATGTGCTTTCAAGCCATTTCAGACTTAGATTGACCCTGAGCAAGGGCCGGGTAAATGACCTTGGAGGGCCGTATCTGGCCCCCGGGCCTTAATTTGAGGATCCCTGGTGTATAAGAATACTTTTCACAGATATTTTTTTGATGTTGTTATTGGGTTCCTTCATGCAATTTTCATCCTGTGGCTAACCTAACTTTTCACTTAATTCTTCCAAGCACTTTATCCTTTCCTACAGATATGTGAGATGTAAGCATTTTATCTCATGAGTCCTTATTTTGCTCTTGCAGGCCTTCGGACAGTCATTCTCAGTCCACCGCAAAGTAGCTGAAGATGGTGAGACCCGTGAGGAAACTCTCCTTCAGGAGTCAGCCTCAAAAGAAGCCTATTACCTTGGGAAAATCCTGGAAATGCAGAGCGAGCTGAAACAAAGTAGAGCTGTTGTTACCAACATTCAAGCGGAGAACGAACGATTGACAGCCATTGTCCATGACTTGAAAGAGGTAAAGGCAGTAAAGAAAAAAAATATGATATTTCAAATGAATTTTAACTGAGCTTTAAGAAATAAACTATTTAGAGCAGGCATGGTCAAACTTTGTTCCTCCGCATGTTTTGGAGTTCAACTCCCATGATTCCTAACAGCCGGTAGGAATTGTGGAAGTTGAAGTCCAAAGCACCTGGAGGGCTGAAGTTTGCCCATGCCTTATTTAGAGCCAAGCTAGAAGTGATGCTCTCGTAGGCTTATTTCTCAAAGAGTAGCCATAAGTACAGTAGACTTTCAGTTAACCAAGACCCTGTCAGGAAAAGTTGAGATAAATCACCCTTCTTATCTCATCTGCTTCAACCTTGCAAGTTCTTCTTGAAGGTGGGGAAGTTGGAAAAATACTGGACTCATCAATTCAGCAGCACTTTATCTTTATTTACAAAATATACATCAATCTCCACTCATGTCTGTTCACATCTCCTTACACTGCACCAATTGGTAGAGTGTCACTTTTGGAGTGACACTCCATCCATGAATTTCTGAAACCATACTGTTTAAACTATAAGCAATTTTCACACTAGAAAACATTGCATACTGACACACCCAAGGAGATTAGTAGATTTCGGATAAATGTAGTATTCCAGTTGTTTGAGCGTTACTATTGAAAACAGGCCTAATGAATACTATACCCATACTAGACCAAACTTTGTATTGATATTAATATTGAAATTAAATACTTAAAAGAAAATTAAGACAAACTTAATGTAGCACAAAAACAGCTTTGAGAATGCAGTATGCAATTTTAGTTAGATTTTTTGCCAGTTGCTTGAGAGTTCTGCTTCATTGAGTTCTAATGTATTTTATTTTGCAATAGAGCTGGGGAGGGTGCCACTTTGCTGAAATTAATTAGCTACAATCTGCCATTTGCTTCTATAAAATGAAACACACAGAAACACAATATATGTAAGCCACCTTGAGTCTCCCTGCTGGGGTAGAGAAAGGTGGGGTATAAACATGGTAAATAAATAAATACGTTAGGAAGTATTATAATGGTTCATACATGTATTCATGCATGAAAGTTTGTTTTGTTTTCTGAATATGTAGATTAAATTTAAAAAAATTAATCTGAGAAACACAATGGCTAATTTTACCCTTCATAAATGCATGTGTATGAACCTGAGATTTCAATTTGGATCTTGGTGTTGGGCACAGAGCTAGACTTCTCCAGCATCAAGACCAACCAAGATTCAAATCCTTCTCCAGGTAGGATATAAAGCAGGAATGGACAAATTTTGGCCCTCCGGGTGTTTTGGACTTCAATTCCTGCCATTCCTAACAGCCGGTAGGCTGTTAGGAATTGTGGGAGTTGAAATCCAAAATACCTGAAGTGGGCCAAAGTTTGCCCATACCTGATGCAAAGTTTGCCCATACCTTTTAGAAATGTTCTTATCCAATAAAGAATAGCAGTTCTTTTATATATGACACAAGAAAGCCCAAGGTTACTTTAGCACTGAGTGTTGTCTATTTAGTTGGTCAGTTGCTTGGCTGCACCATTTCTTGCAGTTTAAGGTGGTGTCGTTCTTCTCGAAGACTGATTAGCTGAGTTGGAAGCCTTCCAGCCTGGTTGCTATTAATGAATGATACTTGTTTGCTGGCACTTCCCTACCCAAACAAATCCTTCAAAATGTCAGCAAGAATTAAAATTGTCTGCTACTAAATTTATTCAGGGCAGAAATATTTGTTTATACAGGATAATGAAGAGCTCTAGCCTTGGAACACAGGCATTTCCCCATTTTTTAATATTAAAAAGGTGCCTTCTATACTTCCTGTTCTCTTTCCACTCTGCATAAATGTTTTTAAATGTGACTCACTGAAGATGAGTTGAATAAACATTCTCACAAATTCAGATTTACCATACTCATTATAAGCAATATATTTTAGCCTTCTGGAAAAGCCTAAAGGACATTATCCTAAAAATACTTGGAGTGAAATTCATGTAAACGATCAAGCTACATGTCAAATAGGCAGCTTTAGGAGAGATTGCATCTGCATTGTGGAATTAATGCAGTTTGACACCACTTTTAACTGCTGTGGCGCAATATTATTGAACCATGGGAGTTGGGGTTTGGTGAGGCTCCAGCATTTGGCAAAGGATGCTGAATACGTCATAAACTAAAACTCTCATGATTACATAGCATTGAGCCATAAGAGTTAAAGGTAATCAAGTACATTAATTCTGCAGTACATTGTATAGCATGTGGTTTTCAAGCAGTGGAGATAGTTCTGGCTGTGAGAGGAAAGAGAGGAATGGAATTTTAAGTACCCCCCCCCCCCGTCTCAAGGAGGTGAATAGGTGAATAAGTGCTACATGGCATTGCTCAACCAATTGCTGAACTGCTAGAACAGTGGTTCTCAACCTGGGGGTGTCACGAAGGAGGTGTCAGAGGGGTCGCCAAAGACCATCAGAAAACACAGTACTTTCTGTTGGTCATGGGGGTTCTGTGTGGGAAGTTTGGCCCAATTCTGTTGTTGGTGGGGTTCAGAATGCTCTTTGATTGTAGGTCAACTATAGATCCCAGCAGTAACAACTCCCAAATGTCAAGGTCTATTTTCCCCAAACTCCACCAGTGTTCACATTTGGGCATATTGAGTATTTGTGCCAAGTTTGGTCCAGATCCATCATTGTTTGAGTCCACAGTGCTTTCTGGATGTAGGTGAACTACAACTCCAAAACTCAAGATGAATGCCCACCAAAGTCTTCCAGTATTTTCTGTTGGCCATGGGAGTTCTGTGTGCCAAGTTTGGTTCCATTCAATTGTTGGTGAGGTTTGCAATGCTCTTTGATGGCAGATGAACTATAACTCCAAGCAACTGCAACTCCCAAATGTCAGGGTCTACTTTCCCCAAAGCACTCCAGTATTTTCTGTTGGCCATGGGAGTTCTGCATGCCAAGTTTGTCCCAGGTCTATAATTTGTGGGGATCTCAGTAGTTTGTAGAAGTCCGAGCTGAATTGGTTGAAGGTACTGCAAATCCCATCAAGTGTTGTCCATATTCCCCAAATACGTTTTTGTGTGATTAATCACTATGTTTTAATTATGTTCAATTTGTAAAAATGAAAATACATCATGCTTTTCAGATATTCATATTACTATTAATAACAGTAGTAAAATCACAGTTATAAATGACAAAAAAAATTATAGTTGGGGGTCACCACAACATGAAGAACTGTATTTAGGGGTCACGGCATTAGAAAGGTTGAGAACCACTGTGCTAGAAGATGGCATCATTTAACTCAAAGATTCTAGTAACAGAGTCTGCAAGCATGGTATGGGAGGAGAGAGGAGCACGATTTATCTAACTGCTGAAACTTTGAACTGTTGAACTTTTCATGACATATACCTTGTTTGTTTATGTGTATAAGAAATGGTCATGCTAAGGGCAGGTATGGTAGTCCTTTTACTTGCACCTGATGCAGAGATTGCGCACCATTTTGCTTGGCTGAGCAAAATAAAGCTTGTTCTTTCAACTCAGCTGAAGTCTCTCTCTTCACTCACTGAAGTGCCAACGGACCCTAGAGCAGTATGGGGACACCCCTAGGTTTCCTTACATATGGCCTAATCCAGTAGTATCCTAATCATTCAAGGACACATCGGAATAATACGATGCCACTGATGATACAAAACTTAGCTTTATTGATTATAAGCAGATGATGAATAAATGCCATCTTCTGGTATCCACGTAATTGAAATATTACAGTTCTCTGTAACATCTGTTTTGAGTCTCCTTTGAGAGAGCAAAGCTGAATATAAATAAATAGAATAACGATAGTGATAATGAAAGAAGTCAATAGCTGATGTTCTCGTTTCTCTGATGATGTAATTAGGCTCCTGGACAAGCCAGCCAGCCAGCTCTCTTCCTTTCAGGACCGAGTCACACAAATACCTGAACCAGGTAGGGACTGCACGTCCCACCAGAGTTTGCTTTCTTGAAGCTTGGATCTCTCAGGTTTCCCCCTCCCTCTGACCTCTTGGGTTGGTAGAAAGGGCAATTCCTGTCCTCAGGAAGAAAGTATTCTTGTCAGTAGGAAGGCTGACTCAGCTGCAACGATGTTTACATCACTGCCTTGCATGGTTTATCTCAAGGGACCTAAAGGGAGTTATGAATGCAGGCAGCAGAAAGAGACTGATCAGACAAACAGATATATACACCTCTTAGTATGAATACACACATACACTAATATATTATCACAGTATTAGAAGACAAACTGAAAATGTAACAGTTGCATTCCTTTCTAGTCTTCTGAAAACATAACTCACTATAGATGACAACATTTTAACAGTTTCAGGCCAAGGATGATACATATATGGCATTTAAGCAGACCCTGAGGACGTCTTTTTTGTTTCGAGCGACTTTCCAATACCATATTCTGTAGTGTTTAAGTGCTGTCTGGAGTTAAACTGTGGCAGTATTATCTCGGAAGACAGAATATTAAATTTTGAAATAAATAAATATCACATACCTATTGCTGAATAAAATATATCTAATGAGTAAGACCTTGCCAAAAGAAAGAGTGTGTATTTGTGAACCTCTGATCTCTTTCTCCTTCAGACTTATGTTTTGAAAACCACAAGTACAGAGCTAGTTAAGCTCATTAACATTCCTATCATGGAAGTTTTGCTGTTCATTAATTTTATCTTGTGAGTTGTAGGCAGGACAAATCTCCCTTTTTTGCAAGCCCAGCAGCTGGCGCAGAACTGTCTTTCCAGATCAGATAAAGTTTTAATTCTTTTTCCATTATGCTTCACAAACCTGCGAAGCTTCTAGTAACATGGTCATCTTGGTGCTTTTGCTGGTTTTTCTGTTTAATCATTTTTTCATTTGAGTTTTTAAAAATAATCTGTTATCTTTTTGAATACCAGAATGACATAAAATATAGTTTTAAAAGCATGAAATCAACTCTGTAAGATGTTATCAAAACAAACCAAAGCAGCAAAAACAATAACAGACCAAATCAACTA